CGATCCCATTCTTGTAATCTATATATCTTTATATGTATTGGATTGAGTGAATTTTTTCAAATAAAAAAGTAAGTGTTTGAGTGTGTTCATCTAAGTGTGTCTATGTGTGCATGTTGCCCAAATTTTACATGTGAACTTCTATGGTGTCTATTTTACATAAAGTAAAGATTATGTAATAATTTGACAAGTGTTAGAGGGTATCATTCAGCCTAGAGATGTCAGAGCAACCCCCTATCTCTCAAGATCCGACCAAGGCAAATTAGAGTGCAACTCGTGATGAATTCATGGTTGAACAATTGAAAAAATTACATTTTGCTGGGAAGCGATCTGATATTGGATGGAAGAAAGAGGATTGGAGGTCTATCTTAGATGCATTTAATAAAAACTTTGATATTCAAAATACTGTACAACAATTGAAAACTCGTTGGGCTACAATTAAGAAGCAATATTTTATTGCGAAGGACCTTCTTAACCAAAGTGGTTTCGGTTGGGATGACTATGCCCATGTTATAACTGCTTCGAATGGTGTGTGGGATCGATATCTTTAAGTAAGTTTTTAGTGTTGATTATTCAATTCTTTATTTTTCTTTGGTTGTTGTAGGAATTTATCTATGCAAGATGTTTGGAAAACTCACATATCTAAGCAAACATCCATTCTGAAGCAAAACCATTTAGAAAGGAGAGCTTTACCCTTTATGATCAACTAACCATACTAGTAGAAGGTAAGTATTTTCATTGTATTAATAGTATTTATTAAATTACACTATAATTTTAATGCACTACAATTCTCATTAGAATATGACATTTTATGCTTATAGGTAAACATGCCACAGGGAAAGAGCAATTATTGATTGTTTGTCAAGAGCCATTAGAAGATGATCTAAGTGAACATGAAATTGAGCAAAGTCCACAATCAGACCCACATTATAATACAAATGAGAATGATTTAAGCTCTTCAGATGATATGCCTATGGATACCCCTGAAAGAAAAAAATGTCAAGCTGTTGTGAAATTAATTTCACATTGTGGTAAGAAAGCGAGGTCTAGCCCTGCAAGTAGGTTAGCAGCAGCTGTTGAAAATTTAGTCAAGGCAGACATGTCAACCTCACAAATATTGCAAAAGCCCACAGAAAATGCAGAATTTTCATATAAGAAGTGCTTGATAAAATTGCAGCATATGGAAGGCTTAAATCAAAGTGAGCGTGTGTGCAAGCAATAAATTTACTTGTTGATGAAAAAGTTACCATCACATTTATGACTCTCGCAGGAGAACTGCGTTTGGATTGGCTGCGTTCTAAATGTCACAGAGTAGAGTAGACATTTTGTATTTTTAATTTTTTTTTGTGTGGGGGCTCTTAATTAGTGACTTGAAGAACTTCCTAATCTATGTATGACTTTTGGACCTGAATTTCTTGAGTAACATATGGGAAATGTTTGTTGATTTTTAGGACGTGTGAAATGTTTATTGATTTTACTTATCCTTTTCCCATTGATTTGTGATCTAAGGGAAAATGGCTTTTGTGTGCAAACTCATATGCAGTCCTAATACACTTTTCTTGGTCAGATTCTAATGCACATTGACTCAATTTTGTAGTAGATGTTTGTTTACGTTAGATATATTCCTTAAATAATGCATTTGTTCACATAATTTTTTCCAATTTCGTTAGAATATCTTTCATTTATTTTATACAGTGAAGGCAACCATAATCAACAAAGAAACATGATTGAGATGAACTTGGCCAAACGACATGAGAAGCAACGGCGTAAGCGGCGGTTAATTCTTGCACTCGCTCTTTGCAGTTATAATGATACTTATGTAAGCAAGATTCCTCTTCGGAATTCATCTCTATCTGGCTATGCATACATGGAAGAAATACTTAAAGGTCATAGAGAATGATGCCTTCAAGTTTATCGTATGGAGCAGTGTTTAAAAAAACGCCAGGTCAAACCGGACTCGCCCTGTTCGACTCGGGAATCGGCACAGGCCATTTCGGTTCCAGCACAAAACCGAGAACCGCCCGGTTCTAGAGCAGAACTGCCGATTCTCACCCGATTCTAGCGGTTCCCAGCTGGTTCTAGCCGATTTCAGCCCGGTTCTAGTCGATTCCAGCCCTCACCTCATCCTCTTCTTCCGCAACCACCAGTAGCAACCACCTCCATCTCTCTCTAATCCCACACCAGCCACGACCATCACCTGTTGCTCTCTCTAAACCCCTTTGCCATCTCCGCCCCACTCAGCTGCGGCCCAGTGCCCCTTCTCTCCACCTGCTCTTGCACCCTCTGTTCTCCGCCTCTCTCTAACTTCCTGCAACCAACTGCGATCCATCGATGTTACCATCTCCGCCCCACTCAGCTGCGCCCCAGTGCCCCCTTCTCTCTGCCCTCTCTCGCTCTCCAGCCCATCTCAATGCCTCTTTAATCCGCCACCAACTCTCTCCATCGGAGCCTCTCCCAGCTGTCCGCTATCACTGCTGCCTCTCTCAAACCTCTACCACTGCTCTCTCTCTCTGATCACCTGCGATCAACCCTCCCTTTCTTGCCTGCAGCACCCGACCATCCTCTCACTCTCCCAATTCCATGTTCTTTCTTCGCCCCTTTTCTTTCTCTCTCTAGAAGCCACGAGCGAAATCACCACTCTCCATTTTCTTTTCGTTTTAAGACTCCGTGATTTTCGTTTTCATTCAATCCACTCAAAGTTTCGCCCACCCACTTCATTTCGTTCCATCTCAAGCCTCCTTCCCTCTCTCAAGTAACTTTATTTTATTAATTTTTACTCACCAAATCTTTTATTTTATTTATAAATATTTACATTATAAATCGTACTATTTTTCTTACAATTGTCAATAATACATTTTAGATTAGATAATATTATAAAATATTTTTAATTTGTTATAATTTATTTAATAAAATAATTATAAAATGTAAACTAATAATTATAATTTCAGTATATAATATTATAATTAGTTAGATTGTAATAATTTTGGATTATAGTTAGTTAGGTTGTAATAATTTGGATTTTTTTAGCGGATTAGGGTTTTCGCCAAAACAAGATTTTAATGGCCATAATACTATGATTTTTTTTTTTATGCGATGCAAATTTAATACTTAAGTTTATACAGGGAAAGAGCATCTCAATATTCACAAATTGACGAAAACATTGAAAGTTAATAACATAGTAGCCTCATTTCTTATTGGATTCCTAAAAAACAACATTTATAATGAATTTTAATATTTTTTTTCGATTTTTTTGAAGCTTTAATCCGACCGATTCAGTCGATTCTCGATTCGGATCGTCGATTCGCCGATCCGGATCGGTTTTTTTAAGTGCCCGATCTGGGACACCGATCCGCTGTTTAAACCATTGGTATGGAGTTAAACGTATTTCAAACATGTGATATTCTTCGAATAGACTATCTTCTGAATGATACTTGATTTGGTGAAAATTTTTTATTT